CCCTATTTATTCATACAAAATGAAAGAGTGGCTTTTACTTTATCATTATATATTTAATAACGCGTAGATGTGTGTAAAACAGTGAATAAAATGATAACTTTATAATTAATTTATCTCATATGTCAAATCATGTTTAGTAATATAATATCAATTACATGTAATTAAACAGTATCGTATAATTATAATCGATACAAAAATACTAGATTTTCAACTTGTGTATAACGCAATATCACTCGTATAGTTACAACTTGCTAATCTGTGATTACTCTGCCAATTAAGCTAAATATGTTAAAAGAATCTCGTATCTATTGCTATTTGCGAATATATCGGAGCAATTGAGAGATAAAAGAAAAAAAAATCACATGGTAATACAAAGTTTATATAACACAATTATCATCGCGAGTACATACATTATACCGCTCCGCACTCTTCTGCACATTCCTACATAGTAGACTAAGCAATCAACAATTTTATTGTAGATGTAACGCCGCGTAAATAAAGAAGAGAGCGATACATTAATAACCCACTGATAACCGCGGGGAAGGACGCGAACGCGGGGGCGGAGGACACACGCGAGAAAATCGGGTGCGTGGCGAAGAAAAAGCGGCGAGAAAATCGAGAAAGGCGGGATGTACGGGACACACGAAGGGGCGGGAGGGGGAGGATAAGCGGCGAGGAGAGAGAGAGAGAGAGAGAGAGAGAGAGAGGAGAGGGGTGGAGGGGGGTAATTAAAGGAGTAAACATAAACACGGGCGAGAATTTTCGTCGCGGGGAAACGCAGCTGGCGGCGTAGAACGACGGCCTCGCGACGTCTATTACCTGTGTATCCGTAGCGCGGGGTGCGAGAGGGTGGCAGCCGTTCGTATAGGAATCCAAGCCCAAGTGGGGTCCCGTCCGGGAGGTTGACCGCCGCCGCCGCCGCTCTCTTGTGTGTGCCAACGCACACGGGTTAGAGGCCCGTACGCACGACTACGCTTGGCCGGCACGACGCAGTGAGCCCGGTCGCGCGTCTATCATTTCCCTCGGCGCTCTCGCGCCATGACGATGATTGTTAACCGCGAGGAAACGAGGGGGGGCACACGCGACACGCGAACTCTTCGAGACCAACAAAAACCAAAGAGCGGGAGCGTAGTCGCGAGGGAGAGTTCCGCGCTTTCTTCGACACGATGGCCCCTGGTTTTACCAGCGGGAGCGAGCAGGAA